GGGGCTAGCTCAGATGGGAGATTGGGTAGTGGAGGGCAATCAGATTCTGGACGCGGCAGTACCGTGTATAGTAGTGGCAAAGCTCAAAATTCTGCAACTAGTCCTGAATCATCGTCCGAATTGCAGACAAACCAAGGTAACCCAAGTGAATATATTTTTATATATCCTGCATAATTATTTATTATGCTCTATTATAATATGATTTAATTTAATTTTTAAAGTCAACCTTTGTATTCGGTTGGTTTCGCAATTAAATAGGTGTGTATATTTTTTTATGTACAAAAGTAATACTACTAGGTATAGGTAGTTATATTTAAGTTTTAGAATAAAAAAAATAATTTTTGTTAAATGCTAGGTATTATAAATGTATAAACCCACTTTATAAATAAATGCATAGAACTTTAAAACTTATCAACAAATGTAATGTTTTATAGGGAAAAAAGGTCAAAGTGAATGGATGGATTACGTAGATACCGAGTTACGACAAATTCTCGATCCATCTAAAGTTAGTGTGCAATCAACATTAAGCGATAGTGTATCATCTGTAACTCCACCATTACCACCACTATCTCCCGATGGGTCATCTGATGAAATGCAAACACCTATACATAAACAGTAAGATTTATCATTAATTTATTTTATTTTCCAATTTCATTCACGGTTTATACATGAAATTTTATAATTTACAGTCGAACTGAGTATTCAGTAAAATCTCGAGGCCAAGCTTCAAATCAAAGAACGCCCTGGTCAAACAGGGTACCAAAAGAAAAATCACATAGACAAACAAGTACTATTAAAAGACCAGATTTGAAAAGAATACTTCAATGTAAGGACTTAATAATGACCTTATAAAAATAGTTTAATTAATAAAATCAAATATAATTCTTATAGCAAGCAGTGTTGGTGATATGGACTCAATGTTTGACGAAGAAGCCAGCAGTGACGACGAAACTGTCAACAGTGATGTACGCACTATACGGAAACAGTTAGAAGGGTTGGAAACTATGTATTCAGAGGTCAGTAATTTAATATTCATTTTCCACCCTATTTGATATTAACACCATGAACCACTTGTACAGGTACTCAAATTACTTGGGGTTCGTAAATCTGCCGGTGGTCCTAGATATCAACCTTCCGACCCTAGAGTTCACCGTCGACGAATGTATGGTAGTATGTCTTCAATTCCGTCATCGGTTAGCAGCAGACCCTACCGTGAGAGACACCGGAGATCAACCGACGATCGGAAGAAATCTGTCAAGGACATTAAAGTAAGCTGTTAACACCAAACTTCAAAAATAAAATAATATGAATTTTGTTCTAATATTATGTCAATAATGTACATAATATAATAATATTATTTTATTTTTCTCAAAAGTATTTATCAATCGATTAAACTACAAAAGTGTATTGTAACAATAATATCTTATACAAATAAATATAAATAATAATAAAAATATAATTTTCAGGGTATTAATAAACGTTTCCAACGTTTGGAATCCCACGTAGTCACCCTGGCGAGAAGTGTCGCACACCTCTCATCTGAAATGAGGACTCAACATCTTATGATTCAAGAAATGGAAGTAATTCGAAATGAACTTTCCGCATTAAGGACACAGACAAACATGTTGTCTATACGTTCGCATTCTGTTCCTCGAGTCCTTCAATCTCTCTGTGCGGAACAGACCAACTCGAGTCCGAATAAAGTAAAGAAGCTGACTAAGTTTTTTGGAGACGAGCCTCCACTTTTAAGGCTGTTTCTCAAAAAATTAGGATATGAGGTAATATAACAATATGATCTCGACTATCGAAATTAAATACATTAATATTTCACTTTTATAATAATCGTAACAAATCAACTGGTCTAAAATAGCCGTATGAAAGATTTGAAACACAATGATAGTTATTGAAAATAACTTTTTTTTTTTGATTATGATTAATTTTTTTTATAATAAGTTTATTTACAATCGTTGACCCGCAAAAACATTTAGCTAACTATTGGATGTTTTGCTGCTTTCAGAAATACGCATCGGCATTCGAAAAAGAGAAAATCGGCCTGGTTGAATTGCCATACATGAGTGAGGAAAGGATGCATAAGCTCGGTGTGCCTATGGGACCGAGGTTAAGAATAATGCAAGAAGCTCAATTAGGCTTTCCCGGGATGCACGAGAACACATTAGCTATCGTGTGAACATTGTTTGCGGCACAACTGAACGTTGGCCGATTAAAAGTATAATAGTATTATGTTATGCCATTAAGTGTTACGTGTAAATATAATCATATAGACAAATGTTTAAAAAAATAATATATTCGTATAAAATATTGTTTGATTATTATTAAATTACTTTTTTTATGCCACTTATACTCTATTATATTATATCGGTCGTCTGCATAGACATATCATTTATATGTCTATACCTACTGTATATGGTCGTCTGATGTGTTTTTCTACTTGGTAATGATATTAATACGAATACACAATATATAAACGAACAAGACTTGAAATAACCAGATTATAACGGACGGACAATATTAATATTAAACATGGTTTTTTAAATATTTAATAGTAACCCGGTCGACAATTCGGCGGTCGTAATTTTGAAAAATCGATGGATAATATTGGCATTACATTATCACTAGAATTCGATTTGTATAAATAATTTCGAAACTGTTTGCTAACAATAACGCGAATACAATATAATAATCCATACCTACCTATTAATTCGTAGGTATACGTCAGAATATTCCCAGCATTGTTCTGCAGATCATAACCATCGACCGTTGCTCAAGAACCGACGGTGGTTAGGGTAATAACCTTTGTTGGAGCGTTGTTTATTTAATAAACTATGTGTATATAATATATTATTTAAATATTATCCGGTTCGTAAAAACATATTCCAATTATATACATATATGATATATATACATTATATATACATCGCTGTCGGTTTATATTCGATTGGAAAGTAAATATAAACAATACGTGAGAGACTTAAAATTTCTCGACATTTACACTAGGATGGTACGGAAAAACATGTGTGTAAACATGTCTGTTTTTTTTTTTTATCTTACCCGGTCATTTGTGGTGAACTGCAATATGAGGTCGTGAGGGAAGTGCGTTCTGAGATGTGTGTGGGCCGAAAATAATGTTCTCTGTCCGTCATCTGCAGCAGTGTATGGATTATTAATACGTATAAATTATTAGTAATATTACATATTATGCTGTTAAACACAAGTTTATGATTGGTGTGTTACTATATTTGATGGCGAAATTTCTATTGTCGTCGGTTTTCATTTTCCGTGTAAAACTGAATTCACTTTGGTGGTCTTCTATACCAAGACAACAACAATATTATGTTATAAACTTATATAATATAGTTTATGATATTTCGCTCTTTATAATTTCTGAAAATCTAAAAATGAGTACTTATTTATGGTAATCGAATATACAATTTATGTATAATTTATAAATGTAATATATCTAAAAATATGAAGAGTTGTTTATGTATGGCTGAGAAACAAAATATTAAAAGCTGTGAGTATTCGACATAATATCATAGATATAGTGCATGTACCTATTTAAGATTTTATCTGAGTCTTATAAACTTCACACACTAACTTCAGTTAATACTCGTAAGTTGTCAGTCGATTGTATTTTATGCATTTTTTATAATGTTGTATGATGTTTATTACCTATTTAAGATATCAAATTATAAAACATAATATATATTTTATACTTACATTTATGTAGGTAAATAAAGGCAAATATTTGAAAAAAAAATAACATAAATTACAATAGTATTCAACTTTAAACGATTTATAGAATTATTACTAATCATTATTAGTTTATAAGAATTTAATGACAAATATAATATAGTAACAATTAATTAAGCTAAACAAATACTAAAATATAGGTAGGTACTACATTGTCTACATTATTTATTTATGAAGTAAATTCAACAAAAATAAATTGCCATTCTTATAACCTGAAGGTGAAACATTTTTTAAATCGCTTGTAGTTTATTGTTGTACTTACCTATAACGGATAAGAACTGCACAAAAATAATGTATAATATCCACAAACATCGTAATTCCTATCTATTTAAATTCGAATAGATAAATATTTTAAGAAAATGTCAGATAAAAAATACTATTAACTATAATATAAATGCACACCATTTATTTTTGAGTTTATAATAAATGTCAGTAAGTATTTTTAGAATAAAAATTTTAAAAATATGTAGTATCATAGCCGGTAAAATGTTTTTCATTAGACGTTTTCAAATACCTGAAGTAGGTAGGTAACCTACCTAATATTACAATTCAAAATTAAAATTAAATCTGTAACACAGCCTACACACATTTTGAAGTAGCAATACAAATTGTATGAGTATTTACCTAATAGGTATTACTAGATTTTTTTTGAACCAACTATATAGTTGTCACCTATAATCTAGCGGTTACCTAATAAATTTATTTTTGAAATGAATTTCGAACACATATAGTTAGTTATCTTCTATATTTATAACATGAAATTATTATAATATATTTTCAGGTATGATTAAAATGATTTCCAATATTGTGCTAACATAACAAAACATTTTAAAATTACCTACTTAATAGTTTCTGCTAAATAGTAAGTAACCTACCTAGCTAAAAGATTAAATTCATAAATTGTAAAAAATACAATGTTATTTGTCACAATAAACGCAGGAAGTTTATTAAAAAAATTGGTCTGTGAATTTTTTTCTTAACAGCTATATTATAGTATTAAGAAAATAATTTTACTTCAATTTTATTTCTTAGTTTAGATATCGTACACGATTATGTGTAGAAAAAACTGGCCCTTAGACTTAATGTATAGTATAATATGTCTATATAATTAACTATTGATTTATCACATTTATGAAAGCCACAAATTATTGAGTTCATAAAATATGTTTATAAATCGTCGTAAATCTGATTAGTGACAGGAATGGTTGACATGGTTTGTTAATAAATATTCATGGGTTCTTGTCTATAGGCGTGACGAATTTAATTTCGCGCGTCACCTTTACAACCTGTGGAGTTAGAGGCTTGTGAACAGGCTGCGGAAATTCGTCTCCCGCCGATGGCAGACTCGGGCAACTCAATCTGTTGTTGGCAAAATAGAAAAAACACAGTAATTACTAATTAAACATAATATCTTTGTGATGAAAATAAATCACGAGATGACGTTGCAGCGATCGTATGGATCGTACTATGACTTTAAGCCTCGATGAATATGTCATTATTATTATTATTATTGTTATTATTATGTTATTAACATTTTCTAGAAATTTAATTATGGGATTTTACACAGGTTCTAATAAACTTTTACGCTTCACTCGTATATATGAAATAAAACCCGTAACAACTGCAATATAATAATGTTTAAAATGATTAATAATTATGCGTAAAATACAACGACGGCGTTGTTTAAAAACTCATACTTACAGCTGTGTTTAGTTAAACGGTAATTTAATTGTGTAATCGCTGTAATGAATACCTACACTGGGGAAATTAATCGGAACAGACTGCCAATTAGAGACGAGCGGATTCTGGTCGAGTGGGTATTATCGGTAACTTTATTCGTCGATCGGTCGGCGATCGTGTCTCGAGGATAATTGAAACGATGGTCTTCAGTCATGGTCGAACTTCGGTCGATCGATCTATCTATTTGTCCGTCCTATATTTTATAATATGTCCATATCGTTTTCATTAGTACGGTACGTTTCGAACGTCGATTGACGCGAAAATTCCAGCGTATAATTAATAGTAATACATTTAATATATTATATTAATCCAAATAATAACTATGATTCTTGAATGGATAAAAAAAACACTAAGAGTAATAAAATAAAAAAGAGGACGAGTTATAATACGAAAAGCATGTAGTAAAAAAATCGAGTATTATCTTGGTACTGTAACGTCTCCTCTTCACCTGGGGCTCGCATCCCTCTCGGTGTCGTTCTGTTTATATTAACGAGGTCTCGGAAACTCGACCTCGGTGTGTGGATATTATTACATACGTTACAGTACCTTTTTCAATAGAAAGCCATTTAAAATTAATAAAAATAAAACATAGGTACCTAATACCTACTCCTTATAGGACTGGGAATCTTGTAAAGACTAACCAGAAAATACTATTGTAATTTGTAAACTACTTTTTTAAAATAAGTAAAGAACTTAGTAGACACCTGTTGGCCGACCAACGCATGACAACACAATATGCATAACTCATGAGATATACACAAAGATTGTCAGCAAAAAATATCTGAAGTTATATGTGTGCGACTTATCTTTGTTGAAGGCACGTATACAACCTGCTTATAATAATTTCATATGGCAAAAACCGGTAATCGCATTTTGTGGTTAAACAGTGCGGTGTTGAATTCATATAATCGTAACCAATTATAAACATTATTCAGGAATAGTTCGTTAATCTAGTGGCCTTTCAGTTTTCTAGATGTTCAGATTATAATTGAAACCTACACCAGTGATAATTTATCGATAACTCCAATCTCTTGTTTAACTGTTTAAACATTTTTAAATATTCAAAACATTCTCTTGCAGCAGTTATATCGTAGTCTATAGATTGGAAATCCCCCGAATGCATCCCGATACGATGAACCTAGGTTAACATTTCCTCGGTAATTGGTCCGCTGTTTATGTAAGTACACCTATAATTTGAATAGTTTTACTTTTACAATTAATTTTTTATGATTATAATATAATATATGTGATTGACAGTGCTGACGCATTATATAATATTGATGACGTTTCCGTATTTATATGTTTTCAATCCCCTACCAATCATACAAGATCACGTCTTATCAAATCAAAATATCATACATTTATTTAAGTATCGATGCATACCTCTTGTGGGACCAAGCATCTTCGGGCACGTTCAAATACTGTCCGGACGATCGTTCGACGGGAAAACACGCCACAGTCAGGTTGTCGTTGGGAACCGACAGAGATCGAATCGATCCGAACGGTTCGTCCGGGAATAAAGTGTTTCCGCTGTAAAGTTCCTTGCAAGCACTGACAAAATGTTGTTACTTGTTAGTGAATAAGTATAAAAATATCACACGTGAAAAACAATATTACAACTCAGCCAGATCAGATTGGTATTTTCTAAAATTATTTTCAAAAAAATCGTTGACATCGCACTGGTCGCGACTGTAGAATATATGACGGGATAAAGGCGGTTAAAAGCCTTTTTACGGAATTAAATGTTAATTAAAAATGTATCCCATCGCCACTAATAAAAATTGATTTCTGCGACCGATCAAAATTTTACAAAGTTTCAATGTAAACGCGATGGGAAGATTTAAATATTTATCATACCGTCAACGCGCGTATGGTTTGAACTCATAAATTTCGTTACCGATTGGACCAGCCGAGACGCTGAGTTGTAATACATGTAATGAACATTATGGTCGTTATTCTGGGCCGGAAATATTATTTAAGTATTGCATAATACCTACCCATGTGCGGAATCAGTGAATATCAAAAACGGTTTTGGCGTCGGACAAGTGGACACGGGACTCGGACTTCTGGTGGTACTTCCGTGCGCTCCGTTGTGTGGACATTGCGGGGGCGAGTCTTCGACGGCCAATGTTTCCTGCGAGTCTGCGGTCGATCGATTCAAACAGTTGCATGTCCACGGGTCTTCGGCAAGGTTTTCCGTAGAAACTGTGAATGAAAAACACCGTTCAGGTATAATATATAGATAAAATTTTGAAAATATACAAACGTAGGTGGATATACAAACGTACTTTACTATATAATACTATCGAATATGTACAATATTAAATTATATTTATCGTCCGGGACAAGCGGTTTATACTTTATTATAATTTATAATATACCGATGGTGTGATTTTTAAACTGTGCGCTTATTAAAATTCTGATTTTTGAAGATATCTTCAAAATATCGTGTTTTCAAATACTTAGATTTATGATTTATCGATACACACTCACAGGAGAATTTTCTCGGATCGGGTCCGGGACTGATTGGAAAGAAGTCACCGTGGACTGGACAGTGGAATCCAACGCGAGTTTGCCGGAAACGGGCTTTTGTACTGATTGTCCGGAGTACTGCTGTAGCAATGAACATTACGATCGACATGACCAAACATATAGGTCCCAATATTCGCCCGTTGTCAGACTTCGAGTAGAACTTGCGTTTCGAGTCGTCTTCGCCACCTCCAGTTACCCAGCCATAAGATATCACTGTGTGAACAAATTTTATTTTATTGGTGAACCATAAACTCTAAATTATAATATATGTTATACCTAAATTAATAATTATAATAATATAATATCTGTCATGTATGACAGAAAATAAAACAATGCCCCTAAATTGCCTACACATAGCGCCGTCTTGAACATATTATACAAATTATACAATAATATGATAATAATAATACAATGGTCACCCCTTATTAGACTCACTTTGGAATTAAATCATTTGAGTTCATTAACCGAATGAGTGAATGATTCAAAAGAAAGACTGTTGAAAGACTACCAAAAACTAGTACATATATTATAATTTTTTCGAACATGTGATTAAATTAAAAATATTTCTTGAGATTTCAGCTTAAATTTGCACATATTTTGTTCTATTTTTGTTATTTATCTAATTTTCAAATAATCCCATCAACCGGTGTAATGAGTCTAATGGACGATTTTTTTACTGTGTGATAGTATACAATAATATGTAAATTTATACTATATAATAATGTATTTTATCATGTGTCAGGATTTAGAAATATAATATTATAGAATGTTTTAAACTAAATGGGGTGGTCCCATACTTGGTTTTATTTGCCGACCATAGTGAAATAGGTTCTTCAAATAGTTGTGTTATAATATTTTAATTGTTTGCCATATCTTAAAGCGAAATAATTGAGAACTATTACAAAATCGTTAAATAGTTCATCCTTATTATATACTTAATAGTTGAATACATTATTTTATATGTCCCAAGGGATAAGTGCGGAGTGGTTCCGGACTTGGGACATCCCCTGTTCCCGCTCCTCACTAGTCTACTCGACATAACAAATGAGATTCATTAATTATTAGTTGATTATTTATTTTTTTACTAATCCAATTGAATTTTTGAAAAGTGACGGAACAGGTTGAAAATAAAATGTCAACGAATAGAAAACGATCCTGATTGACCCTATCTCATTGACTTCTAATCATATCGTACGCAATTCTACTTACCGTCACAAATATTGTCAAGTGTAATTAATGATAAAATGCAACAATTCGATGCTGTCGGTTAGTCGTCAACTGTTATCGTTTCCACGTCGTCGTACCTATACTAGTAATGCACGTACAATCGGCCGAAAATAACACCTTCCATATATTATATTATTATACCTATACCATTATTATATTCGTCTCAATTTTACGAACAGTTATACCCACAGATATATAGTAACCTCGAATGTATAAAAACAAGATAAATACCTATATAAAAGCGATCTCTAGGGTGAAACTTAGTAAATCAAAGCAATGATGGCCATTATACGAATGTCGCTGATTTCGACCACCAGCTATAAAATACCTATATACTTATTGCCTCGGATATAATAACAGCGACAATCATACCTGTGAGCACTATGCCGGCGAACAGGAACAGCGTGCCGAAGACGGGCAGAGCGATCTGACAGTTGGACCGGACGGTTACGCCCCACACGGAGACGCCGTCGTCGACTTTCCTCACGGCCGACGACGACGAGTGCAGTGTGCGTCTCGTGGCTGTCGGACAACTTGTCGGGCCGATCGGTCGGGGCCGATGGTCGCCGGACGTCATCCGGTCTGCAGCGGTTCACGGTAAATGGTCGCCGCGCGCAGGAAAACTATAGCCGACCGACAACGTTTAATATTAATTTATAGGTAATAATAATAATAGCGATAAAAAAAAATATATACAATAATGTACGACCCGTGCGTGGGCGGTCGATGGTTCTAGATTGTATTTTAAACACCGAGTGGGTCGATATTACAGGTATATTCCGCCGTATACCTACATCATTCACGAACAAACAATACACCCACACACACATCGCCCTAGTGACCACTGCACGAAATATGCACACAAGGTGACTCTTTTTTTTTGTAATAGTCGTTTTATGGGTAATTTTCATGTATAGGTACGTTGTATGCCGATTGAAAATCATAATTTGTGTTGTGTTTTTTTAATAATTCCTAACCTATGGGTGGTGAATTTAGAAAAAAAAATTATAAACAGAGAATTTTTCTAAATAGTCAAATTTATAGAAATTCAATTTCAGACTTCCAGCTATAGTTACTATCTATCATTAATAAGTTCTGAGTTGTATAGATAAAAGGTATCTAGTATACAGAGTATACTATCATTTAAAGTTTTAATGTCTGAATGTTTTTTTTAAAAATTTTGTAGATCAAGTTTGTAGAACAAATATAATATTAAGGAACACATACTTTTAGAGTAATTTACCAAGAAAATGACTGTTATTACTTATTAGTGATAAATCACCCTATATGCGGTCAATGTGTGTGTGAGTGGGTGTGAAGTACTGAAATACATGTATAGGTTAAGTTGGGTTGACTATGTATAAATAGTAAAAATAAAAATGTATACATACCTATAGTTATTTTCATTAAATTTGCCACTAACATTCTACGGTCTAAGCGTAAGGTATTCGTAAAATTAAAATTCCTGTACCCTTATGTATTATATTATACAAATTGTATAATATAATGATTGATTATAGCTGTAGCCTGTAGGCTGTAATATAACGTCTATACTGACTATACTCTATAACAATAATAGTACCGCTCTTATATTCCTCCGTCTGCGTTTGTGCGCTTATACGCTTTGCGCTAAAACGGTCAGATTATTTTAAATCCACATTGACTGATTAATGTGGGCCGGCGCTACAAATAGCGGGGCCCCGTGCAAAATAAAATAATACACAACAATTAATATTTAATACATATTCTTTATTTTTTAGTTCAAATAAACAAAATAAATGTGTATAATATTATGTTGATATTATGTATTATTTATTATATATTTTAGAAGGATTTTTTTCTTGCCTTTTCACTTGCAAAATCATTTATAATCGTATCGTAGTTGATAGTTTCAGCTATTTCTTTTTCAATGGATATTGTTGAAAGTCCAGTGAGTCTTGTTTGTGACATGGTGCTCCTTAGATAGTTCTTAATTAATTTTAATTTCGAAAATGATCTTTCAGCAGAAGCCGATGTGATAGGTACAGAAAGCATTATTCGTGGTGACACTGATTTGAGGTAGGTTTTGTTTCTTCATATTTTTGAGAATTTTATGGGCTGAATAGGGAGTGCACCATCTGCTTTTATATTATAATCTGTGGTATAGCTTCTCTATATATTATTACTCTATGCGATATGCCGAATAGTGGGAATGGCACCATGGTGGGAGAGAACAGACGAGACGTCGCGTATTACTATATCGATGCTTGGTTCACATAATATGGACTCTTGTTGGCCGTAGTATGCAATCGATTATCGAAATTCGATACCACGAAAATGCCCATAATTATTTTAAATTGTAAATTTATAAAATTTATAATATTTAGTCAGTAATGATTAGTTTTTCTGGAGTGAGCCGGCTTCCGCGGGGCCCCACATTTGAGCGGGGCCCTGTGCAGGTGCACTGGTTGCACCGCCCTTACACCGGCCCTGTAAGCAGGTGCACTGGTTGCACCGCCCTTACACCGGCCCTGTGTGGAATATAATATTATGTTAGTACCATAGACATATAAATAAATATTTATTTATATGTCTATTGTCTATGGACTATGGTTGGTACGTTGTAAACAAATAAACACGACTTCATGATCTTTCACAAATAAAATTGTTTCAAACGGTGTAGGCACCACGATTAAAGATATGTATCTTTAATCGTTGTAGGCACCTTTAAAAGTACAATGTTACATTGTAAGAAATATATATTCGGAGTGTTTGGCCAAAGTTAATTTATTACAAATACCTACAAGTAAAACTATATTAGAATATTCATATTTTAAATTTCAAACATATATAATTTATTGTTAGACTAAAGGTAAATTTTTTAGTTAAAAAAAGGTAATGACATTGACACGATGTTGTTTCATTATAATAAATAATCGATATAGGTGCCTAAATTGATGACATATTGCATCCAGACATCTATTTTTTTACTCAATATTTCGTTTTATTAATATTGAAATGTTCTGTTTTTTCTTATGGATAAATACACATAAAAGCGGTATTAAAGACTAAAATGTTTTTATATAATATTTTGAAACTCATATTTTCACGAATAGTAAAAAGTTATTTTGAAAATTTTAATTTGGGCCCCCCAAGGACAATAGAAGTATAGAACAACAAGATCTAATTTTTTTATCAGAAACCATCCCAATTTTAAAGATCAAGGAATTCCGCTCAGAATTAAAAATACCAATAGGACTATTATATTATGTTATATTATAATCGTTCGTTTATTGATTATAATTAATATTATACGATAATAATATGTAGACTCAATGGTTATATTAATTACATGGAACTTAATTTAAACTCCATTAAAATATAATATAATATACCTACTACCTAGCAGTGCTCGCATTGGGGGGGACGATTAAGTTTCATCTGTTGGGCCAAAAAGTGTATGAATTTAATACAAGGCTCCTGATATATAGTTACAATATCAGTTTAAAAATATTAAAAATATATAGTCACAATTTTTTTTTATAAGCATTTAGAGATCGAATTTTGACAAAATGTGACAAATTTAAAATTGAATAATTATTTTGTAGTTTAAAATTTATAAAATGTCCAACTTTTATAAGGATTGATAACTTAAAACAAGATTTCAAGTAAGTAGTTAATTCTGTTACCAAAAAATCTAAAAAATACATAATCACAGTTTATTTTTATAGTCATTTTAAGTTCAAATTTGGATGAAATTACATAAAAAAAACCTAGAATAACTATTTTAGTTATTTTGTTGTGATTGTATAATATTATTCGTGAGTACTTGAAACTTCTAAAGTACACTATTATACAGGGTGTCCCGTGAGGATTTACTCATTAGCCGTAGAGGGGGACTCGCCGCCCGGACAAAAACCAGTTTATTGACGTTTTACTAATAAACTAAAAAAATTATTAAAAATCATGAGATTAATGAAAATAAAATGTTAAAATCTCAAAATGTTCACAAAAATATACTCTATAGAATGGCTATCTTCAATTTTTTCAAAAATAAAAAAATAAAAAAATAACTTTTTTAACTTTTTTACTAAAAAATTTAATTTAATTAAAAAATAAAATATTTGTAGTGCTTACCTCTGCGAGTCTTAATAAAAAAACATAATTACGATATCTCCATTATTTCAGGAGATATCGCAATGAGTAAATCCTCACGGGACACCCTGTATATCTATGATAGTATCAGGGTTTTTTGTTGATGTATAACGCGTTATAAGTACCTAATGGATGTTATGATATGATTAATATGTAATTTATTATAGGTCAATTTTTTTTAATACCATAGATAAGTATATAATATGTCTTATACCTAGACTGACATATCGTCTTCTCTCAGAATCGTTTTTCTTATACAATGATATTATATCATTGAATTCAAATTTAATACCATACATTATACAGTGACCCACTGGTAACCTACTGTACAGCAGAGCACCTTTTTTTACTTGAAAGGGGGGACGCTACAAACTAATGTCCGACATAACTTTTATTAAAATGTGGATTTCAATTGATGTCAATTATATAACAAGTTTTACTATTTTCATGACAAAATTATTTTTTATATTAGTTTATTAATTAATTATAATATCACCCTGTGTTTTGCCTATATAGTGAGTGGTTCACAGATCGCATAGATCATAATATACAACAGTCAACAATACAAGTATGCATATTATCTAAGGCACATATTATACTGTGTGCTAGATATTACTATCTTAAATCGTGTTCTGAATGAAATGTTATCAGTTTCAGTTATGGTTATCATTTATTGGTGTTTTTGAATTTTTAAATTTTTGAATTTTTTTAACTTATCAATATACGTGGTCTCTTTTGAATCAAAAACAATAATTATTAATTTTGTTACCTATCTATTTAGTATATTGAACAAACAGGTATATTATTGTTAATCTTTTTTTTACTGTAACAATGTAAGATGTAGATAATATCTATAATATTATTGCTAACAAAATATATTATACCTATTTGGAATTCAAAATGTGTTGCTGAAAAGTGGTATTAAAAATGTATCTAAGGCCTGGGAGTGGGGTCCTTGGGAAGCAGTTTTTAAATCTTTGGATTGAGCTCCTCTACTTAATTTTTCCCAATTCGAGCACTGCTACCAAGTACTTCTTTAAAACTTTCCCCCTAAATATGATGGCCGACATCGAGACAAATTGACAATAATAATTTCAATTAAATTGACTATTGACAGTTTTGTATGATATTAAAATATTATTATAGCATTTATTAATAGATTTTTATTGACAGCTACATAGCTATTAATATATTATATACATATGAGACCACTATCGATGCCTATCGGCGATGTTTAACAGAATCAATTTTAAATTTGTGGAAATTAAAAATAATATAATAATAATATACTGTCTCTTTGCCATCAAATAGTTATGTTACTTTAAATTCATTGAACATATATTTTTAAATGTTCACCTCTACTGGAATATTATAATCTCTTATTTGGTGTTCAACACAAAATTAGACAACTAACTTAATTAAAATATTAAATATCTAATAACATTTCAACATATTTAAGTAGGTGGCCAGAAAAATGTAAAATATAATAGGTATAGAACACAGAATCATTAAGTTTCTAAATAAGAATATAATTAAATAAATAAATATACATAACATTTTGTAACAACTTTCAATTTGAATATTTGTTAACAAAGAAATTATTAAAACAAATGTTTTTAATAGATAATCATAAATGTTTAATACATCCACATTTAACCAATTTTAATTTTTACAATAAAATATTCAAGAATTGATACACATTTTATACAGTTTTTACCAATCTCAGTTAGGCACATTAAGGTTCTAATATTACTATGTACAGATAAATAACAAGTGTTTTAATTAGCTAACAAATTGCATAAAAAATTTCATTCAATATAATATTATGTGCTTTCATGAATTTGTAAATGGTTAATGGTTTAATTATAAAATAAATAACAATATAATGAATTAGAACAACGCCTACTTAAAATTATTTGCAGTGATTCTATAGTAGCATTCACAGTTTCAACTTTTAAGTAGACTATTATTCTCAACAATATTGGAATGACCCAGTATTAAATTAACATAAAAATGACTGTTTAGGTACACAATGATGAATAAAATGGATTAATAATTGACTTAAATAATGATGATATGTAAAAGCTGCAATGGTTTAGTCAATACTTTGTATGCTCTGTAAAATATTTTTCCATGTTTGTAGCCCCTGTAAAATAAAATTGTAATTAATGTTAGATATACTATATAAATAAGCATAGTTTTTATGATTGAAAAGCGTTTTAATATTTTTGAATCGTATCTGTATCAAATGTGTAAACAAAAAAGTTTAATTCTATAAATAAGGTTATTTTGTTCAGTAAGTTAAGTTTTATTCTAATTGTTACATTATAACTAATTTAATCACTGAATACACTAAAAGTAATAACCACTTAACTATGTTCAGACATGTCTACAGTTTTATTAAATATTAACAAACTGTAATACACGGTTTACAACGGACAAAACAGGAATACAAGTGTAATTTTTTTTTAAATTTTAATAAATAGAGAGGAATTTTTTGCTAACCATAACAAATAATAAATATTTTAACTAGATAATTTCTTAATAGTAGTAATATACTGTATTTAAAATTTAAATTATATTAAATAACGTACAAACCTTTTGAGCATACTTAGTTTGAAATGCTACATAATCTTTAAGAATGTTCATAAGATCTGAGTCTTTTTGTCTTTCAAATTCTTTATAATTTTCTAATGATTTATCAACAAACTCACTAAAATAAAATTTAATATTAATTAATAATTCAATATAAACAATGTTAATATCAATATATTTTATTCAATTTTAAAATACGTAATAGAGCAAATTATATTGAATCATTGAATAAAAGATCTGTAAGTGCAGCCAATGCAGGTTAAGAGGACATTATACATGTATTATAAAACTCGATGTTTGAATTAACACCACCCTTTATATATTATTATAATAGATAACTGTTACAATTTTACTTAAACTAGGATAAAATTTTTAAAGTATATAGTTCTAAAATTGTGTATATAATTTATATACTCTATTCTAAATAGGTCTGACAAAAAACTCGATCATAACGCGTTGCAGTCTCGTTTGCTGCTGGTGGAGCATTTTTGTAGTCTGACTTAGGGTTAGTGGTATTTTAAATTTTGATACTGGTATCCGGTAATTGATATTACCGGTTATACGGTAGTTTTGCTAATTATAGAAAATACCGTGTCTTAGTAATTACCAAAAACACTGTACCTTAGTAATTACTGAAAATATCGTACTTCAGTAATTATCAAAAATACCTTATCTCGACAAATGTATTAGTATTCCCAATTTTCCAACCTAGAATAGGCCTATTATATTATGTTATTACGGTTATATAAAAATAAGAAATAATAAAAGTAGATAGGTAACAACGGTGATTACCGATTCATGGTATTCCGGCATTCTAAAATACCAGATATCTGTATTTTTTAAATACCGATATTATTATATGTATACCGGTCATTACCGGTATACAGAAAATACCGCCAGCCTTAGTCTAACTTGCCGAAACAATGTGTAAGGTGACAAATAATGATTGTAGACAATCACAGTGATCTGAACGTTCAGAGTTCAGACGGCTGTACGAGTTTCTCCAGACTTATTTAGAATAGAGTATAGTAGTTACTTACGAATAACTTGCTTTGGCCTCTATTTTTTTATTTTCAAAAGCTTCTATAGCTGCTGTATCACGATTAGCTGCAGCTGCAGTATAACCAAAGAGTCTGGACATTATCCCACTAGTTTCTAAAACAAAATATACATAATGTTTATTTATTTATAATTAAATATCTAAGTAACATAATATTTTATATAATTAGTAACTTCGGTAGAAAAATGGAAAATATTTGCTTGTTATTTTTAGGAAATAAAATAATTGTTTTTTATTTTAACCAGTTAGCAAGGATTATTGAACTGTTAGTAAGATCAAAGATGTATAAATATTCCATAAAGTTCTATTAATCTAGTTTAAACAGATGATTAACACTAGTTATGAAACTATAAAAGATTCATTAAAATCAAGTGATACCAATAGTTTTGAAAATATTAAACATGTCTTTTTGGTAATCATGAAAACCTCCCACAATTGTTTGCGGCTCTAAACATGACAATAATATATATTACACAAAGTATTTACATTTTAAGATTTCAACTATAGTAAATATTATTCCATTGTAATATTGTATACACTAATTAAACAAAATAAACAACTTAAAATTACCTTTACTATTTGACATATTATTTAACTGATTTAAGTTGTAATGTAGTGAATCATGATTTTTGACAAAAGTGTGGAGAGAATTCGTAAAAGCCAAGTACCTAAAAGAAACATTATATTAAAAATATGTCCATAAAAATATAGAGTAACTAATAAAGTAACACATTAAATAACAAATAGTTATTTTAAAAACAGAAGTATTGACTTCAAATTTTAGTTATTTTAAGTAAAACATATTAACTATCAACTTACTATAAGTAATTTAAAGGTAATGAAAAAGATAAATAATTTAAAAATATTATAATTTATAAAATAAAAAAAATTACTTACTCTTTTAATTGGTCCATAATAACCTCTTCGTCTTCCAACGCTGGACTAATAGCTGAAGCAATTGAGTCCATATAATGACCTGTTCTCTGAATATAAAAAAACACTTATATTAGTGTTGATAGCAAAAATATTTTATACTATTCTCATATGACAGGTGTACACTATGACAGTGATAAACAGACATTTATATCTCCTTATCAAAGGATAAAAACATTTATTTAAAATAATGTAAATAAAATAATGAAAAAAAATTCTATTTGTTGGGAGAAAGGAGGGGGGTAACTAGATATAAAATTACAAATTTTTACTGTTAATCTTAAATTAGTAATACAAAATCAATTGATTACGCAAAATATGTAATAAATTATAAATACAGTAGAACCCTTTTAATTAACTTTTTAAGGAACCAGGAAATGGTAGGAATTAAAAACCATTTTATTTTGGGAGATTTGACAGTTAATATTTCCTGATGAAATTAGCCTATTTTTATATCTCTAAATTATAGAGTACCAGGATAGCTTTCTTCATTATTCAATTGAAAATTAATTTTAATTTTTGATTACAAATGTATACTATTTCTACAATTAAAGTGTAGCTATAATATATAGTTATATATAATGGCCTGCATCTTAGATGACTTTTTAGAAAATAAACACCGTAATAATATATCAGTAATTCACGAGGTAATGGTCACAAAAATGCCTTTATTTAAAATAGAAAAATTCAACTACAAGATACATGGAAATAATGGAACCAGCAACTAATTAGAGAGAGCTGGCAACAAATATAAATAGATGGTTGAAAATATATTTGGCAATGTGGTTTTAATTATAGTATAACAAATAATAATTATCTCATTTGCTCCTAAGTTAATATTAATAGCATACTAAATTAAATTAAATTTTATATTTATGAATTTGTATGTTTAATATATTTTTATTACTATTGTGCGCAAGCCTAAATATCTCTAATAAATAAATAAATTCATTTCTACATTCTATTACTAAACTGTCAATTTATTATATTGTAGGTAATTAGAATTTATTTCCATGAATGATTATCATTTTATGAAAAAGAAAGGGCACCTAATTATTACCATAGTCCATAGGTATTGTATTAAATGTTTACCTACTAATATTAAATTAAATTAGTTTTATTTAAGTGGCTTTAAGATTAATGTGCTTAATTATACATCAATACCTGAACTGCATCACCAATATCATTGTCCACAGCACTGAGTTCACTGAAAATTCTACCATAGTGTAAATGTATCATATCTACGTTGTAAAGTCGCTCTGCTTGTTTTGCTCGATATGTTAATATCTTATTTATAGAACCCTAAACACAAAATATTTATTAAACACAATTAGTTATTGAAATTTATATTTGATATGAGGTATACCTGTAATTTATTGCTGTATGTTTTAATAGCTTCAAACCGCTTATCTGAATTTCTACCCCTCAATGATGCATTCATTGTTTTAATTGTGAGCTCTGTATCTTTTAAAATGTCTGAAATTATATTTATACAAATAGTGGTTTTAGAAAAGGGTTTTTTTTAATTTTATTCAACAGCATTAATAGTTTCAATAGTTTTATTTAGGTGTACCTATATTTCTGATTTCATATTGTTTATAGTAAACATGTTTTACTCACTGTTATGTGATTTTGATAGATCCATCCAATTATCACATTCGCCTAGAAATTTAAGAAAACATTCATCATAACCTATTTCAGAATGGCCAGCTATTCTCTTTAGAAAACTCTCTAGTCCTGCACGTCTTCTATCAACAAAATCTGGGTCCATAGTATCAGACACAGCTTCACTGTTCCACATGAAAGATTGTTTCTTTTCTGGCAGTGGCGGTATGACAACCCAAGGGTATTTATCTCCCAAGTGGTTGTGAAGTGTCACAAAGTCAGTATATCGTCGGGTTGCCAATGACAACTTTTGCATTCCTTTCGTTTCAGCCCATGTCTCACTGTCAATTCTTCACACACACAAGGTAAACGGTTATTTGATTTGTGGTAACTAGTAATACGTATAACCCGACATTAATTTAGAATATTATTAAAGTATTTTTAATAATATTTGTAAAAGGTATATTGAGTATCAATGATTGAAATGTAAAATACTAAAATGTATATGTTTTATTCAAGATGTAAAAAAAGTGCAGTCATTTTGACCATAGAGTGACTAACGTCGGGTTAAGAATATTTTTGTAAATTACATACTTTGTTTCAATGATATACACGGTATAGTATTCTTTAAGGCTCAACGCTGAATTCATGCGCTTGTCAGCTTCTGTGATACCAATACTTGCATGGTCGAGCAACGTCTATGTACCAAAATCATAAAAATATAATAATTATATATTTTTACTGCAAAAGTGCAAACAAATCTTATAACGCCACTAAGGCGGACATTGAAGGTCCTATAGATACATACCTCAGATTCAGTGGAGTTTTCCATAGGTAATGGAAATCGTACAGCCCCGTTGTCAAGGAAAATTACCAGATAGTTTTTTTTAGCAGGGTTTGGGCGTAAAAAAAATAATACGAATGTGAAAAATATAAGTAGGTAGATAATAATACTGTAATTTATACTACAATATAATTATTGTAAAATTATCTAATCGATCTGTTTATCTGATAACTGATAAAGGAATTACTGTAGATAACTGAAAATATTGGGGGGCCCAAAAAGTGTGTCAAGGCCGTTCGAATCCGTAGAAAGCTGCAGTTGGCTATTCAAGTAGAAAACTCTGAAAACTAGAAATGGTCGAATTTTATTATTCTCGAATTTGTCAAATGGAACATAATATTATTGTATAACATATTATAGACCTTAGTAATAGATAACTAAGTTAATACGTCGATGCGTGGCCATGCGTCGTACGTACCTAATCATTTGATTTTGACATTTGACCATATTATTTCTACTAGTCCATTAACGTAATAATTGTATACCAACTATATCAGATATTTAATTATAGTCAATTACTTAAGATAGGATATTACAATAATATACTAAAATACTGAATGGGGACCCTATATAGCTTATAGTAACACAGTTGACATTAATTTATTGACGCCGCAGTGCCGCACCCATGCAATATTTTACGGGGTCCATTTTTTTTTAGTGTCTAGTGATTATGTTTTTTGTACATAGGCTATAGAGACATATAGAATTGTACCAACATAGTGTATTAATCATAGTATTAATATAAAATTGGGTTCACGACTTCAGAACAAGGTTCGCTGGAATTTATTTGATTACATTAATGACAACATTATATCAATAAATAATCAGTCGTCCGCTATAAAGAATTATAATAATATTTATTACGAACTGAATTAATTATAATTTACAATTATCATCTTAGTTCATGAACTTTATTAATGAAAAATTAAAATGTAATATTATGTGTGTGTTCAATTGTTAACACAAGTTAACTTAAAAATATGGCCTAAAACCAAAAAAAAGTACTAAAAATGCAAAACAAAAACAATTTAATAATAATAGTAATATATTCAATGCCTAATAGTAAAATAAATTACTGAAAGAAGAATAATGCCATAAGATATACTAAATAATATTGATTGACAGACTTTCTTCACATAGAATCGTTTTTCGTATACAATGGTTAGATATCATTATACCCACACCATGTGGGCCACACGGCACCAGGTCATTAGGTCCTAATGTACAGCAGAGAGGAACAATTTAAGTTTTATTTTTTTTTTATTAGCATTAATTACATTTTACGACTTTTTAGTGTTTTTATTAAAATATATATTTTTTAATTTTGTACAGACCCACGAATTAATAAATAATTATATATTAAGCCATTATGGCACAATCATGTTTTCGTTTTACTTACAACTGGCTACAACAATTTTTAACATACATACGAGCTTTCAAACATATTATAATCTTTCGACACCTAAAGTTCAAAGTCCAAACATACGGATTACCCTTTTCCTTAAGGGGAGTGTCCTGTGGCAATACAAACTTCTGTTTTTTTCTACAAAACCCCACTTTAAACATTTTTATTTTTTTGTAGACTTACCACCACTTACCCCTCGTCATCTTATCTATTTTTCGTTTTTTTCAAATATTCCAGTATCATTATATGACGTGTATAGTGTATATAATATAGAATATATTTACCTATCATAGTATCATACCAATATACTCCGTTCACCGAGAGAGAATGTGGTTACTTCGTGCATACGAATAGATCCGAGAAGTGTGGATTTGGGAATGGTAGCAGGGTACGATCCGTTTTGGATTTTGCACAACCTTCTGTCACCTTCTGTGTTCCTTCTAACGGAGAATACTATTGTAATAATTATGGACAATATTGAACATTAACTGAACATTAATTGAACACTTAAGTAATGTATCTATTTTGCCTATACAATACGCCGGGCAACACATTATAATATGTGTTTACGCAAAGTATTTAAATCAATTTATATATATATTACTAGCTGTATTCGGCGTGAATGGATAAAAATCTAGGACGGGGGGAGGGGCAAAAAAACTATCCTCCCATTGGGCCTTTCCTGTAGTCATAATCTTGATTTCAAGATAATAACGTGTTCACGAATCACGGATAATAATAGACACGAATAATGGGATTATTGCGACAACAGTAACACTGACAATACGTGAACAAAATATTATTCTACAAGAGAAACCTAAAATTAATATTAACTTTTATAAAGTAATTTGAGGAAAAAAATATTTTAATATTAAAATATTATGTTAACAGTCTTGTTAAGAATGCTTTTTAAATGTGGATTATTTGGAGGGGCAAAATGATACTTTTGTCCCTACAAACATTTCTGGGGGGGCAAGTGTCCCCCCTTGTCCCCTGGCAATTACGGCACATGCTGTGTTACCCCCCATTGTCCGTGGATAATTGAAACCAGGGGGGGGGGGATAACAAGCTAAAGATCCAATTTGCTTCCAAAAACCTCCAATTAAGCTTATGATCAGATCACTTTTTCTACTAGGGGAGTTGAACATATATTTTCAAATACTTCGCATAAACGTCTACAATTATTAGTCTGGAGAAAATAAATATGAAACTGTAATTAATTTTCAAGTCTCCTCCGTTGAAAATACTAAGAAACGCTACTGCCTACTGGAGATGAGCAATCCACCTGTGGCGGATAGTAACATAACTTAGCGATAGACATAAATCTTTTTCTTATACTTGACACAAATGTGAGCAGAAATTATTCATTAATGAATATGTGACTATGATTTGAATATTGTTAATAGCAAGTAAATCCCTTTAAAATAACTGGTTGATGGTTCAGTCTATTATGTGACCCAGGGGCGTAATTAGGGGGATAGATCCCCCCGAATCTTTTTTTTACTGCTAACATTTTAATCAAACTATTGATAATGACCATTCATGTTTGCTAAAAACGTATCCCCAAACCAAATTCCTAATTATGCCACTGATGTGACACTTACCAAAATAAATAAATTCCAAAAATCGGTGCAGAATTTTTTTGTATGTAAACCTCATAGATGCACTTTGCTACTACTGTAGAATACTGAATAGCTAATGTATAATAGCTGTTGCTCAATTTTACAATTATATATTATAATTTATAGCATGCACTAATTATACATTATAATATAGTAGTGTACCCATTATTATTATATATTATTGAATATATATTATCCATATTCTGTCCATCATTATCAGTCTTCAATTACATGTAAAAAATTAATATGTTTATTAAATCCCCTTTTGAGATATGCTTAGGCAATAAAATATGCAGTGTTACGGTTACATGTCTTATCAGAAATCAAAATTGATAACTGATAGTGGCAAAATTGAAAATAATAAATATTATATACATTGTACAACAGCTATAATATTCTTTACTCTAGTAATTTCATTATTTTTAATTTAAATTTAATATTAACTATCCAGAATTTTTATTTGTAAATCATAAACTCGTGTAAAATATGGATGTGTTACGTCCGAAGATATTAAATATTGATGGGAGACAATATCGTTTAAATACTGCCGATTGTTGTCCAAACTTGTGTGATGAAACAAAACCTCACAACACCGAAATTTCTGAAAGCCTACCGGCTTATGTCGAAAGAGATGGTAAGATTTTGGGGACGATACCTAAATGTTTAGTTGGTTTAATACTTAATACTTAGGTACACGGATTTTTATTTTTAAATCTGAATTGTCGATAGGTACTATGATCGAGGGATTTTGATAGATAAACCATTTGCTCAAAATTTACCATGTCTAAAAAAGGTGTTTTTCTTGTTATTTTTTATAGATTTTGAAGAAGAATGTGATGACTTGAATATTTACATGGAAGGTGGTCGATGTGTACTGAAATTAGAAGTGCCAAAGTGAGTTATTGTTTAACAAGATTATAATAAATTGATTATATTTTGTTCAGCTTCAGTAGTGGCTAAACGTGTGTGTTGAGCGGGGGGGGGGAAATAAGGGGGATAAATTGTTTTACCATATTTATGGCCTTATGACCATAAATTATATTTTTAATGATCAAATAGTGAATATTAAAATATCACCCCATGTAAAAATTATTTGACTGCCACTGTTAGCTAAAGTTGTGTACTTATTAATTAATTCTGGGTATGTAATATAATGTACCTATTGGCAGTGGCGCTCATCTATATTTCATGTTATGGGGAAAAATTTCTGGTGTGAGATCCACCTACTTATAAAAAAATTTATAGCTATTCTCGAATAGTGCATTATAATCGTGATATACTGCCTGGTGACCTGCCATACTCATACTGTTATTGCCTATTCTTTACACTTACTATTATTGTTAAATTATGACGATGTTTAAATATTAAATACCACTAATGACTGATCACTTATTATCACCCAACCATTAATAGTTCTGGGAAATTTTCCCCAGTTGATACTACCCGTGTTCGGCGCCACTGACTACTGGTATCATATTATTTGGATAATACTCTTTTACTTCAATTAAATTAAATTAAACAATTTTTAGAACTTACATATTGAGTTTGAATAAAATAATAACTTTTACATTTTAAACAATTATGTATAAAGAATTTTAAATTGATGTAACTTTTTTTTATTTTAGTACATTTTATGGTTTGATCATTGGTAGAAATCGAGAGAACATCAAAAATCTTGAATATCAAACAAAAACTAGAATTAAAATTCCCAGCATGAAAGAAAAGAATATAATAAGTAAGCGGATTTATTTAAAACTGTATACTGTATAGTATAAACTATAACCTAAGACTCGTCTAATAAAAAGTCACATAATGATACATTTTCCATAGACATTTCAAATAGAGTAAAATATGAAATAACATTTTAATTTTAACTTTATGACCTCAACTTATTATTTTCATATTAGGAAATTATACAAGCTTTATATAGTTATCTGCAATTTATTATTAAACATATTACACTCAATATTAATTAAGATATTATTTTAAATCTTAATATTTGTTCAATTTTCAGCTATAAAAGGAGAACAAAGGGCACACATTATTGCTGCTAAATCAAAAATTGATGCAATTGTAAAGAGAGGTCGAGTCAAACAGAGTATGACTCATTTTGTGTCCTTGCCAATGGTCAACCCAATAGTGATTGATAACTATTTGGCTTTCAAGGTACCTAAAATTGAATACATTAAAACTATTTGTAATTTAATAGATTTTATTGTTGAGTTTAATATTAAATGTTTATATTTTAAATAATTTTGGATATAATAGAAAATGGTTCTTGATGAATGTGGCCAGTGCCGTGGTGTCACTGAGCTTTTATTTCAAGATCAATTAAGACTTCATTTAACAATTACCGCTTTTGTTTTATGCGATGCAGCAGAAATAAAAAGAGCTATCAACTTGATGGACCAGTGTGAAAATACTATAATTAAGTACATAATTTAATATAATATGTATAATCTATGCTACTTGAATACAATGTATAACCTTAACATTTTTCCTTAGACCTATGAATTTGAAATCCTTAGACATATTAGTTTCTGGATTAGATTGTATGAATGATGACCCATCAGAAATTAATGTCTTATATGCCAAAGTGAAAAGTCCTGAGATTCAAATGCTGGCCGATAAAATACAAACTTTTTTCGAAGACTGTGGTAAATAGAATAAATAATTTTTTTCTTAATTTACATCAGAAACATATTTTTATTGTATACTTTTGATTAATTTAGATTTGGCATTACCACCCAGGAGTAATCATGTAAAGCTACATGTAACTTTGATGAATTCTGGATTCTACAAATATCAGACTAGTGTTAATGGAGATTCTGGCAAACAATCTCATCTTACGTTTGATGCAAGAAAAATAATTGAAGTAAGATTGAAAAAATAAATTTATAAAAATGTCTATAAATAATCTATTTGTATTTGATTAGTTTTTATCTTTAACTTAGTTGTTATATCTATTTATACTCAACAAGCAATTAAGGCATATTACAGTTTAGTATTATTTACATAATATTTTTTGCAGAAATTTAATGATTATACTTTTGGAACCGTACAGCTGACAGACATTCATCTATCACAACGCCATACAACTGATTCAAATGGGTACTACAAATCATCATCTGTACTAAAACTTTAACCACAAACAATCAACTGTGGTTTTAGAAAAATACTCTTATTATTATATTCCTATAGAATAAAATGTACAGACTAAACAAATATTTTGTGATATGTATGTAAATATTAAAATCATATATATTATAAAGATGATTAGGAATGTTATTTATTAAATGTAGAAACTATAGTTAAATACTATGATTGAATTAACTCGTTGATTGCCATGCGACCGCTGGCGTCCACACGGTATCAAAATATAAAAGTATTTTTACGGTTGCCGGCGGTCGTACCTTGTTATTCTCTACAGCGGACTGTTATATAAACACATATTTTATTAATCAATGTGAATATTCACATTGAATTAATATTGAATATTTTAAAATAGAATGCGGATTCTGTAATTTTATATATTTTTAATTCATTAATCGATAAATATATAGATGCACAAAAAGTGCATTTGTTGAATTATGAATCACTTGAATGTATTGTACAATTATTATAGTCAACGCCACTGTAAAAATACAATATATAAAAATATACCTTTATAGGCACTCAGTAAAAATGTAATTACATTTAAAGTGCATGTCAATCTTACCCAACCATACTTTTGATAACTTGGTACTTAAATTATGTTTTTTTTATTCCAATTTGAAATTTTTGAAAGTCCAATGATAAATACAAATATTTTTGTAACACAAAAAATACTGCTTTCTATCAAAGAATAATTTTAGTCCATAGAATATAACATTTAAGTAATTTTCACAAATTAACTAGAATGGCTTATTGCTTATTTATTAATTAGTCTGACATTATATCAATTGTTGCCAGTGGCGTATTTAAGGGGGGGGGGGTCCATGGGGTCCGGACCCCTCCCATTGACTCGTGTCTCGTACATGTTAAATGTTGTGCAGTTTTTATATGATTAAAAAACAAATTTTATCATACGATTTTACGGATTGTATAAAAAATTTTCGAAGCTATAGTTATATCAACATTTTCAATAAATATCGTGATTATTTTTATCAGTTGGGTACCTACCGGAAATGGTTGAAAAATACCAAATTCATTCTTTAATTCAAATATTTTGTAGTTTTGTACATTGCCAGTATCTACAACCACTCCAGAGAGATCTTTTTCAAACTTTTTAAGGTTGAAAAGTTATCTAAGATCAACTATGAATGAAGTAGGTACCTAATGTAATTAAGGAAATATTTGTATAAAAGTTATAACATATAACTATATATTCGATTCTGAGGGATCTATTGGTTCTACAATGGTGTTTATTTTTTTTTCCTGTATACAAAATTTCTTCCAGAAGGAGTGCTTCGATTTCAACATGTAAGACATATAGTAACTTATCTTTTAGAAAATTGGATCAAGATTACTATCTTAGAGAGGTCATTTTTTGATTTTCTCAATAGTTATTTAATGCCACTGTAAAAACCACAAAAAAATTACGAAAAACCTCTAAAAATGGGATTTTAATTTCTAACACTTTGTCTATCACCATAGAAAAAAATAAAAAATAAAAGTATTTCATTATTAATTCAACTAACAGGCTATAATAAATAATAACAATATAAAATATCCAGACTGACAAACCGTCTTCGCTCAGAATCGTTTTTCTTATACAATGATATTGTATTATATCATTGAGTTTGAGTTCAAGTTTAATACAATCCATTATACATTGACCCACTTGTAACCTACTGTACAGCAGCAGAGTGACATCCACTCACCCGCTTTTTTTTAAATTTGTTTTGTACATATTATTATTTAATAATTAAAAACTCGACAATTTTATATCGTCTTATAAATATGGTATATTTTATTTAATAAAGAGTAAATGGGTGGTGTGGGGGGCTTCGTCCCCCGTGGCTCTGTGTTCTGGAGTTCTGGACCCTCCCCATGACAAATTCCTAAATACGCCACTGATTGTTGCAGTACTAAATTTTGATTTATGCGTATAGTCAAATAATAAACTGTATTTTGAAAATTTTCAATTAGTATAAATAGAATAACTGAAATAAGTTACTGTTAGTATTTTGGCATAATACCCAAGAAAATATATTTTAAAGAAAAAGGTGTATTAGATTGAAGTTAATGAATTTATTACGTGATCAAGGGATGATCAATCGTTGGCTCGAGAAGTCATCTAGAGTATTCTGTTTTTTTGCCAAAAATATGTAAAAAATTACCGTTTTAATAATTAAAAAAAAAAACAAAAATTGCACTGAAGCTGAAACTCTTATGAACATAACAGATGTTCATAAAAATGGGTTAACTGTGCCAAAAACACGAGTTTATCTGTAAAATATTGGCATTTGACCAGAGGGTAATACTTAATTATGCACTTTGTTTTTTCAATGACGCGCGATTACAATAAGATTATTTAAGTAGGTAGGTATTGAAAAAAAAAAAATCATTACTCCACTGCATTTAATGTTGTAGTGATTGGTTCATACTGTTGATTATAGGTCCAAATGTATTTGATAATTTATTAGGTTACCTACTAGGAAGTAGGAAGTAGGAAATAATATTTTATCTTGCATCAGCGTTCTAATGATTTGTAGACCTACCTATTACACTAGCAAGTAGCAACACGTATCTAAACCGTCTAGTAGGTATAAGGTAGGTCACATTCAGTACCTAATAAAGTAATAAATATAGATTTACTGTACATGGCGTCCGAAACTAATGTCATTTTGTGCTCCAAAATACACTACGGGTCAAATGATCCTGTTCTGTAAAACAATCGAATTTAATAAAAATTTAAAAAAAAGACAATTTTAAGCTATTTTTTTTACAAATTATTATAAATCATTATTTAAAAAAAAAAAGACGTGATCAAATAGTACCGCACGGTGTCATTTTAATGAACGTGTTAAATTTGATTTCAATGAAATAAAATCGTTGTATAAGAAGTGTTATTGTCAGCGTCTATATTATAAAAATATTTTTAAATTACAAAAAAATAATTAAAATCCTTATTCTTCGTTTTAATATCTATCTAATTTTGTCTACAATATTATTTGAATTTAAAATATCGATTAAAAAAACTGTGTTTATGACTTATGTACCTAATTTTTAGATTTTAGGTTAAATACAGTATGAACAACTTATGAGAAATCTTGTCTTAAATGCGTTCATCCTTTTTTTTCTTTCCAATATCTTGGCTACCTATTTAAATTTAATAAAAAATTGACCTTTTGTACAACCTTATGTTGTAAGTCTTAGTATTAGAGTGAATATTGATCTCTAATGAAACCTAAAGTTAAGAAAATAAGAATATTATCTGTACCTATTCTTACGTTGGTTTTTTTACAATATTTAAATTTTAAAGAGAGAAAACAGCATTTTTAAATTGGAACATTTTACATATACCTACTCGGATAAAAATAGAAATTTCGTAAAAAAGCCAACGTAAGATGTATTCCAGATAATATTCCTGAAAGATTTTAACTTTATGTTTGATAATTGAAGACCTTGGAGCAACAACGAGACATGTCCTTTTTTTGAAATTGTTTAAGAGACAAAAAAAACATTGTAAATTCCAAAAAAAAAAATTTAGAATTTTTAAAAAAATAGTATATTTTAGTTATAGGGTACATACAACATATGCACTAGTAGATAGTGCTTAACTTTTGATAGTAAGTTAAGGAAGCAATAAAAACTTGTTTGGACATATCTTGTTGTTGCACCGTAATGCAAATTTGCTTGGACATGCCTCGTTGTTGCACAGTATTTAAATTTTTTTTGGACATATCTTGTTGTTGCACCAAAATTAAATTTTTATTTAATATGTATTTTTCTGGACATATCTTGTTGTTGCACCAACACAACAACAAGACATATTATAACTCCATATATAACAGTCGGACATGTCTCATTGTTACACCAATCGATGCAGATTTTTTTTTTATATTTTACGACGGGAAAAAGTGATTTTGACCAAAACATGGACATGTCTCGTTGTTGCCCCAAAGTCTTCAATTGGTCAATTCACTATCTCACTTTAATATTAAAGCTGTAAGCTGGTTCTACTGAACTTAAAATGTGCTATGTTGGACAGATAGAGAAAAGTGCGCTTACATCCTCTTAAATACGATTGTTAAGAACTAAGAACATTATAATATGGTTGAGATATACGGCAATAACTGAGGACTATAGGTAGTATGTTGGTCAAAAGTGGTATATTTTAGATTTATTGAGTATAGTAGGTACTATTACATACCAACCTACCCAAGTAGGTACCTACCTAAATTGTAAACATTTGGGCACTATAATAATGTTTCCATAATATTCCATGATGATCCTATCCTTTTACATTTTATAAATTTAAAAATAGGTTTGTATAATGACTAATAAGTGATAGATCACTCTGTCTAATCAGTGGCGGATCTAGGATTTTCTCATGGGGGGGATATAAAATATTTTCGTACATAATATGTATAGGTATATAAGCTTTATTCTATATTAAATTTACAATACTAAATTAAATTTTCTTGATGACAGAGCCATCGCATCAATGACTTCATCGGGTGTCACTTGTATTGTCCTATGGACAGACAACATGGAAAGCCCATTCAGCCGCTTCTAGGTACATAAAAAAAAAAAATAAAATAAAAATATGTTAAAATGTATTTATCATTAATATATACTATATACCTACCTGACCCATAGAATTTCTCAAGTAAGTTTTAAGTCTTTTTAATGTCGAGAACGTTCTTTCAGGGGTAGCCGTGGAAACAGGCAATGTGCAAAGAATTTTTAACAAGTAATGTACATTGGGAAATATTTTTTTGTCACATAATGCAAGTGCATCAATGCTAGTTTTAAGAACTGAATGAGTTCTTGAAAGTTTGGTTTTCCACAGCTTAAACTCTGCTGTAGCTGTAGAAACATCATGATTAACCAATGGTGAATACAATTCTAATAATTTTTGGAAACTATTCCGTTCTTCAGACGACATAGAGCTATTTGTTGTAAATAAACATTCAAAGCCTATAATTTAAAAATTGG